TAGAATCATAGAATAATTAGGGTTGGAAAGGACCTTAAGATCATCCAGTTCCAACCCCCCTGCTGTGGGCAGGGACACCTTACGCTAAACCCTATCACCCAAGGCCTTGTCCAGCCTGGCCTTGAACACTGCCAGGGATGGAGCATTCACAACTTCCCTGGGCAACCCATTCCAGTGCCTCAGCACCCTCACAGGAAAGAATTTCCTCCTTAGATCCAATCTAAACTTCCCCTGTTTAAGTTTTAACCCGTTACCCCTTGTCCTGTCACTACAGTCCCTAATGAAGAGTCCCTCCCCAGCACCCCTATAGCCGCCCTTCAGATACTGGAAGGCTGCTATGAGGTCTCCACACAGCTTCGCTTCTCCAGGAAGTCACTCATTATTCTTAGTGATGTTTCCTGGTTCAGGGCCCTGCTCAGCACACACAGAGGGCCCAGAACCCAGTGTGAGGCTCATTGGGTGTCATTAACCCTGGTCATGGTGATGCACTGAAGCGCGGTGCTGCTGGACCAGGAGCCGGCTTTCCCATGCCCCAGCCCAGGCGTGCCCGAGCTGTGCCTTCCCCACACGGCCAGACCACACACTGAGCCCACCACCAACCCTTCCGAAGTGCCTGATTCTCCCTCTTGTTTTCCTAACCTCTCCGACGTTGGGAAAGTCATCTGCTCCCCACACATCCCAATTGACCTGCTCCTTCCAGCCCGGAGCCCAGGCACTGCTCGGGATGCAGAGTCCCCTTTGCCTGGATCCCTGGGTGATGCTGAGCTCCAGGATGCTCTTAGGCAAGGGAAAATACCCACTGAGGCGAGATGGGGCCCATGCTCTCCTACAGCTGGGCTTCCACCTTGTTCCTCTGCCTTTGAGGCAGGAGGTTGAAGGGTTGCATTGAGTGGTGGTCCCTGGATACATGTGCCTATGAGTACATACAGATTGTCTTGTGCATCCTGGCTTGTAGCCCTGGGGTCTTGGTGTCTCTTCGGGGGCAAAGCCCTCTCTGCTCCTCCCCAGCAGAGGGTTAACCCGAGCCTTCCTGCGTTTTCCTCCTCCAACTTGGTAGCAAGGCAGAGCAGGGAGCTCTGCTCTCCGCCTGGGTCCCGGCCCCGAGGCTGGCTGGAGGAGCCTGTGCTTTCAGGCACGTTGCTGTTTGGCAGCAGAACCCCTCCTGCATTTGCCAATTGCTCACTGCTCCTGCACCCCCTCCCTGCGGGACACCACAACTCTCTGTGTAATCTCTTCTGGGGGCTGCTCCCCCATCCCACTCCCCACCAGCTCCTGCCAAAGCCTCCTCTGCATGGAGCAGACGGGCCCATGTACGGGCTGGCAGCATCCCCATGGCCGGGGTGCGGGTCCCCCCCATCAGGGCCCTTCTGCCTGGAGCAGAAGCCGGGGTGGGTTTTTCCTTCCTCGACTCTCTTGAAGGTTTTCCCTTCCTGTCTCTCGTGCAGATGGCTTGAGGCCACCTTGCAGACACCCCAACACCCAAGGGACCCACGCTTGGGTGCTTGCGCTGCTCGCGGTCGGGGTCAAAGACAGGATCAGCCTGGACCAGGTAATGTCAGACACGGAGGAGTGGGAAAAAATGATGCCTGTGGCCTCAAGCTGGTTTTTGGGGCAGGGTGAAAGCGAGGCGAGGAGCTGGTGGACCTGAAATGTTAATTCCTTCCAGCTGCTGTCAGGCTGGCAGGTTCTCAAAGGAAGTTTAATAGACTGCAGTTGTCTCCCCTCGGCCGTCCCCCCCATCGCAGCCCAGCAGACCCTGGGATTACACGAGCCGCTGCGTCTTCCAAGGCTTGCTTTTAGCGTTTTCCCTTTGGCTCCGGCTGTGTTTTCTTGCGTGTGTGCACACATGCACGTGTGCAATGGCTTTCTCTTCCCCCCCTTCCCCGTCTCCAGCAAACCCTGCCCCTTGGATTGCAGTGAATTAGGGGGGACCATCGGGGCTGTATGGGGCTGGGGCAGGGGACTGCGTCGGCAGTGAGGAGAAGGAGCCGGCTCCATGGGCCTCCTTGCTGGAGCGCACCCCATCCTGCCGTGTGAACTGGGAGGAAACAGGATGAAGAAAGTATTTGGAGTGGAAAATAAAAATCCTCTCTCTCGCTTTATTGATCACGATTGCGGACAGAAATAGCTCAGGCTGCTGAAAGCATTCCCGGCTGCAGGAGCAGAGGCTGCTCCAACGTGGGGCTCATCCCATACAGCATCCTCCGGCAGCAAGAGGTGCCCAGACACCTCCTGGCCATGGGGCTGAGCCAGCCCTGGAGCTGGAGGGCTCCTCACCTGCCCACCACGGCTCCCTCAGAGTTTCCAAGCCCTGTTGTGTGCATCTTGCTGGCTACATCCCTAGACATGCTCAGCATGGGAGCCCCAGGAATGTGCAGCCCTGGCAGCCCGTTAGCAATCAGACAATAAGTCATTAATACACTGAATGCCCCATCCATAATTAATTGCATTGGACAACTGGGCTCCTGCACTGCTTACCTGGGCAGGTGGGTGTGTGTCACTGCTGGGGGACCCTACCACCATGGAGCAGGGCTAGGTTAGCTGAGTGGTCCTTTTAATGAATTTTAGCCTGTTCCATGGCATTGTTTCACTTTAGACAGCAACTAAGGGAAGTAAGGGCCCAGGGTGCCCAGTAAAGCCCAGGCCGTGGGGCCAGCATCCACATGGGCACGGTGCTAGAGCTCCCAGCTCTGAGAGGACCATAAAAACCAAGTGCTGGCAGGAGAGTAATTAGTTAAAACCCAGCACATGTGTTGTTAATTAATTGCCAGGCAGGAGGGTTTAACTCTTGCCTTCCCCTGTGGGTTGCAAGGTGGACGGCCAGCATCAGCTGGCATCCAGAGGAAGGCTTGAACTTTGATTTTCAAGCTCTTTCCAGGGACTTGAGCTGCTCTGGTCCATCAGTCCCTGCTCTGGTCCGTCATTCCCACATCCCAGAACCACCACTCTGCAGGGCTGAGCTGGGCTTTTGGGTAGCTCTGCACAGGCTGCTTGAGTTGCATTCGTTAGCAGCAGCCCAAAGTACATTTGTAGGCGTGAGTATCACATCCATCCCACAGCGCAGCCTGTGAGGAGCCCAGCTCTGGTCCCTGCCTCCCCCTTACCCACGGGTTTCAAGCTGCTGGGTGCTTGGGAGGGGGCGTGTGACCCCCTTCCCATGCACACTGGGACACAAGCACACACGGCACAGCCCAGCCAGCTCGCAGAGCCCTCCCGCACAGGGAAGCTGGGAATCTGTTCCCCATTAAGCAACTCCAGCATCGCTCCTCATTGCGGCTGGTGGGGAGAGCAGCCCTGCCAGCTCCAACCTCCCCAATTAGCAGCACAAGTGAGGCCAGGCTGGGGAAGGCCAGCGCCTCCATCCCTCCTTGCCAAGGATGCAAACACTTTGGAGCAGAGCCTGTGGAAAAGCTCCCACCGACCTCGTGAGTGCCTGATGGGGCCCTGGTCCCATCCATCCTGGGATGGGCAGTGATGGGCATCCCACCTCTGAGGCTAAACACCCTGATCCACCACCCCACCAGGCACAGGGTGGAGGAAGGCTGCCTGCACAGCCTCTTCCTCTCCATGCACTGCTCCAAGTGCCTTTAGCTCACCACTAAAAATAGGATCCAGGGCTGTGCAGCAGCACCGGAGGGCAGGCAGCCCGCAGCCCAACCGGCCCCTGTCACCGTGACCAACTGACCCATTTGGCCTCGGTTTTGAAGTGTTTTTCCCTCCTTGCTCAGCTTCATCCCAGGCAGCAGCCTTGCTGGCATCCAAGGCTGGGGTGGGAGGGACACGGTCCCTTACCTGCATGGCACAGTTGGTCCCACACGCAGGGCTGGGAGGCAGCAGGAGCACTGAGGCCACCCAAATTCCAAAGGGTCCTGCAGTCGGGAATTTGCATCGTTTATCTGTCCTATAGGGATGTCCTGGCCCTGGGGATGGAGCAGCTCCTCTGGCTGCAGGGGATGTGGTGCAGCAGTTTGTCCTATGGCTACAGGAGCAGAGCAAGGACCTGGACCTGCTCCCTATTGAAGGACAGGGTCCTCCTACGTCTCCCAAAGCAGGAACACCCTGGGGCTCTCACTGAGCTGTCCCAAGCATGTTCCCAAAGCCAAAGGAGTCCTGCAGCCTGCCCCTGCCTGAAGCTGGGACCAGGATAGGGGGCAAGCACAGGGATGGAGGACACATGGTGCAGCTGCAGAGCATGCGATGGGGCAGCTGTTGGGCAGAAATGAAGACAGACCTTTATTTACAGTAACAAACAAAAGGGATGAAATAAAACACCGTGACACTTCCCTCCCCTTCTCCCCAGCCCTTCAACGGGGCCTTTCCCACCCCTTTCCAGCCACCAGCCCTGGCCCCTGGCTGTCCAGATGCAACCAGCAAGTGCTGGGGGTCACTCGGCACCAACCAAACCCCCTTGTCCTAACCCCCCCCCAGACACAGCAGCATCTCGGCACAGCTCCAGGATCTCCCCAAGCCCCCTGCTGCAGGGACCAGCAAAGGGGAAGCTGCTGTTGATGGGGAGCAGATGGAGCGTATTGCACTTGGCTGCAATCTCGGCACCAAGGAGGGGCAGGGGCTGGCAGGATGCGTTCAATGGCACCAGGTCCACAGCCTGGCTGCAGGCGTTCAGCATCTCCCAGTGCCTGGTGGGGAGCAAGGCTCTGGCCTGGAGGTGTCCCTATGGGGAGGATGCTCCGTGCTGCCCCATGTAACACACCCAGAGCACTGTCCTGGGGTGGTGGCAGCAGGACACACTGTCCCCAGTGCCAGGGGGCTCTGTGGGGTGTATGCTCCTGTCTTGGCTCAGGTGGCAGGAGGCTCCATTGATCCTCATGAACCAGCCCAGTGCAGGGAAGAGGTAGAGCGTGATGGGACACCGGCCCATCCCCAGAGCCCCCGTGGCCCTATGGATTCACCCTTCCCTAGGCAGGACCCGAGCCCGGCTCACCAGCTCCCAGGATGAGGTTTGCAATGGGGGTACCGCTCTCCTCCATCACTCAGCAGGGAGCCGATGGGACCCTCCTTGGCCGCTAAAGGAGAGCCTGGGGAGGGATCAGCTCCTGGTCCCCCCCCCGCCCTCGGCCTGTGCAGCACCTCAGGAGGAGAAGCAGAGCCCGCAGCACTCCATGCAGATCTCCAGGCAGTCAGCAGACTCGCAGCAGGCGTCGATGATGCCGCAGTCCATGTCGCAGGGCAGGTCGCAGTCGGCGCACTCGCCCGAGTTGCAGCAGCAGCAGCAGATGCAGGAGTCCTCGGAGGTGCAGGAGCCGCACGTGGCGCAGTCCAGCACGATGTTGCACAGGGTCAGGAACTCGCAGAAGAGGCAGGAGAGGATGCAGTGGACGCAGCAGTCTGCAAAGAAAGGGACAGAGAGGGATCAGGGGGGGACGGGAAGGGGATGCAGCATCCAGCACAGTGGATGCTCCACTCTGTAAGGGTGGAAACCCTCCCTCAGGAATTAGTGGAAGGGATGGGGAAGAGGGGCTGGGAAGCGGGCAGTGCTCCAGGGTCCTCCCCTCGACATCCACGGACATGCCCAGACCCCAAGGGAGACCAGCTCTGGAGGACATGAGGACCCTGCTCTGCAGAAGGCTGCCAGGGGGGCAACTCCAGGGGTTCCCAGTGGGATGGAAGGATGCTTCATGAGACTTCCCAAATGGGATGCAGGGCCAGAAGAGGAAGGATGTCTGTAAAGCCCCCTACCCCACGCTGGGGATTGCTGGTACCTTCTTGTGCCTCAATAGGGATGTGAGAAGAGGCAGACTTGGAGCTGCCCTTGCTCTTCTTGCTGCTCTGGCTGTTGATGGAGTGGTGCGACTGCAGCTTTCGGTGAGGCTTCTGGGTGCTGGGCAGGGGACGGAAGATCCCGTTCCCGGTCTCCCCGTTGGCACCACCTGGATCCGGCCCCTTCCCTGCACCGTTCTGCAGCAGGCGGGTGCTGGGGGGCTGCGGGGCTGCTCGTACCTGGGGCTGGCCTGGGGGGAGAGCAGGATGTTACCCCCAGACCCCTGCAGTGATTCATATGCCTGGTCCCCTGCCATGGCTGGGAAGAAGTGATGCTGACAGATGCATGGTCCAAGGGGATGGGATAGAGGTGCAGAAGACATGGCTGGAGGTAGGAGACAGAGGCTCCAGAGAGAGGAAGGGATGAAAAAAGAGCAGGAGATAAAGACTTGTTGTGAAGGACATGCTGCAACTGCCCAAATGCAGCAGATGACTTGGAGGAGGAGGTCTCCTGGGGTCCAAGCGCTGCTGGACCCTGGGAGGGAGGAAGCAGAAGAGATGAAGCCACCGAGGCCAACCAGAGTGGGCACAGAGACACATCAAGGCACGTTCGCCTTGTGCCAAGTGGGTAAGGGAAGAGCCTGTGGCTGCTTCCAGCTGAGAGCCACCCCCGTGGCCAAGCCACCATCCCACAAGCCCTGGGCACGGCGCTGCTGGATGCAGCTCCTGGCCGTCCCCGTCACCCTCCTGCAGCCAGGGAAGATGAAGCACCACCAGAGAGCCAGGCTGCTCCCTTCCCCAGCACTGCATGAATTGGCCACTTCACTGAAGGTCTCCCCAGCCTCTGGCTGAACTTCTCTGCAGGAGGAGGAAAACAACCATCTGCAGTGTCTGCGTCTCCCTCCAGCCCTCAATCACTGCTGGGGCCTTCTCCCTGCATCCCAGCGATGGAGAGCACCGGGAGCCCAGCACGAGGAGAGGGCTTCAGCATCCAGCCCCTGTGCAGCAGCACCAATGGAAGCCACAACTAAAACCTCTCTTGATGGTGCTTTGGCCAAACTTTGCCTTTCCTTGCCCGCAGCAGTAAACAAGGGATGATTCAGGCTGGAGGCTCGAGGGCAAAGGCACCGCCGGCCGCTGGGAACAGGAGCTGATTTCTGGGCAAGGGTGGCCATGGGGCACGGCGGGGGGGGAGTGGAGGGAACACAGACAGTGGTGAAAATAGAAGAGATGGAGGTTAAGAAAACACAAGTGTCTGCACTCAGTGCCCGGCTCTGCCAGAGCCAGCGGGGCTCCGACCGCAGACGAAGGTTTAACCGGGTGCCTGGGGGAAACGCGTGCGCTGGGAAAGGGGCTTAAAATAACCAGAGCTGAGTGGGAAGAGCAGGAGGGCAGAGAAGAGGAAAGGAAAACGGGTCCTGGGTAAAACGGGACGTGTTCCCCCTTAAAAGGGCCTCATGGAGTGTGCGTCCTTCTCCAGTGCCCTCAACCTGCCGTGCCCCAGTGCGTGCACCGAACCGGGTTGGATGGGTGCCCTCCCAGAGCCACATGGGCAGGATCTGAGGCCCCAGGGACACCCGTTTGGTGTCTGATGGCACCCAGCACCCTGTGGCTCCCAGCCCTGGTCTCCCCAGGGGGTGCAGCAGCACACAACTCGCTTGCTTTGGCATTCTCCATTTCACTGCATTCCTCAAACTAAACTGTTTGTGAATCACAGTCATGCTCCGGCTCCAGTGAGTGGCAGCGGGAGGCAGCCGATAATCCCCCCCTAAGGAAAAATAGCTTCCATTCTTTAGGACCACCTACAGCTCACAGGAACCCAAAGCTCTAAAGGAGACGTCTTCAACCCCACCCTCAGGTGGAGCGGTAACACGGGTGTCAGGGCAGGAGCGGGGGCCTAGCCCACCCAATGGCTCCCATCGCATCCACCCACCAGCACCAGGGTGGGAAAACAGAGCCCATGCCTGTGGTTCTTCAACAACCAAACACCCCCTGGACCATCACTTTGTATTTCACACCCGAGGTGATGCTCCCAGCACTGGGTCAGCTCAGGACCCTATGGCAGCATCACCAGGGCTCAGTGGACAAACACCCGCACTGCAGCGGTCCTCACCCTACTGGGCCCCCCACCCGGCCATCAGCTCTGCCCAAGGGTGCCTTCCCTTGGACAAACTGAACACTGTGGCTGCCTGAGCTGAGCCTGAAACTCAACACTCAGAGGCCCCAAACCCACAATCCCCACTTGGGATGCTCCCGAGCTGCTGGAGGACTGAACGGTGGCAGGCTTCAACCAGCAGCACTGAGCCCCAGGGGAGCTGGTCCTGGCACCACTGGTGATGGATGTGACCCTTGCTGCCAGCTCCCTCCTGACCCTGCATGAAAATGCCACCATTACCCCCTTCACCATCCCCTGGGGGAGCCTGACTGCGCTCCCCAGGTGCTGCTAAAGCAGGGGCTTTGCCCCCCACAAGTGGTTGTGACCCCCCCATAGCAGCAGCAGGAAGCACTGTGAGGAGCAGGTCGCACAGCCAGGGATGCCGGAGGCGATGCTCCCTGGGGAGCTGAACCTCATTTCTCAGGAAGAGGGCACATTTCCTGCACCCAGCACCCAATGCAAGCCCAAGGTCAGCCACGTTCCTGCCATGGGGTGGGCTGGGAGGGGGCTGTGCGGGGCTGCTCCACGCAGGGTGCAGCAGGCTGCAGCGTGACTCAGAGGTGCAGAATGTCTGTGGGCAGCCGGCCCAGCTCCCAGATGCTCTGCAAGGGCTCGAGCTCTGGTGGAGGGAACGTGCACGCTCCTCGTTCCACATGCGCCAGGAGCACCCGGATTTCACCGTCCCTTCCCCTTCCCACCCTGCTCCTCATTCCCACCCTCCCTCTCTCCTTTGGGAAGCATCCATTCACTTTACGCCCTTTGGAAGGGAAAGCTGCACGCTCGCATCCAACAGAAGGGGAATGGCTCTGTGTGTAAGGGGCAGCCTGGGAGCGAAACCCTCAGATCCAGGCAGGGGGCCAGGGAAAGGATGGACGGATCCAGGAGAGCCTGGCTCCAGGCTCCCACATCTGCCAGCTCTGCTTCCCTTCCCTTCCCTGCAATGGGAAACAGAGCAAGGGCACCCTGGCTCCCACCTCTGCTCCCACCCTGGTATTTCTCACATCAGGACACAGCAGCTCTGGAGCAAACCCCAATCCTCAGTGCAGACGGTCCTGCCCCTGCTCCTTCAGGCTTTGCACCACCTCACCCTTGCCCTGGGAATGCCAAAGCCAAGAGCTTTCGCAATGACAGGCATCTCCCTTTGCTCCAGCAAACAGCTCCTGTGAGCACAGAGCCTGATCTGCTGGGGGCTCACCTCAATCCCACTGTGGATTGTGGGATGCTCCATAGAGCAGCCAGCTCTTTCCCCCAGGGATTGGTCCCTCTTCCCACCACAGCATCCCAGCAGGACCCTAACACGACCCTGAGCTCCTCCAGTCGCTCGCCCTCATCCCCCTCCAGTCAGGTCCAGGAGCGAGGGCAGGAGAGGCATGGGCACTGCAGGATGCGCCCTTCACTTTCCCCAGCTCCAGGAGACTCAGGCTCACTTAAAGCCCATTGCTTTGATGTGGGGAAGAGCACAGTGAGGAGGAGATGGCTCCCACCACAGCTCCTGCCTTTTTAAGGAGCCCTATTACTAAATAGACAGCAGCACCCCAAAGCACGGGCACCCGGAGGTGTCCGGAGCTGCACGGAGGGAACCACTCACATGTCACAGCTTCAGGAGCGCCTTTGAGCTCGGCCCGAGGACCCTTTGTTAGGACTTTTCCGGATTCATCATCTTCCAGGGGCTTCTCCTTCTTGGATGCCACAGGCCGGGCAGGCGGCCGGGGCTCTGTCGCTGGTGTCGCAGGTGTCTGCCTTGGTGATGGGTGCGAGGTCTCACCCGCCTCTGCAAGAGAAACCAGCAAAGACCCCAGTCACCCCAACCCGCAGGGCATCCCCAACCCACAGCGCATCCCCAACCCACAGCGCATCCCCAACCCAAGGAGCATCCCCAACCCGCAGCGCATCCCCAACCCGCAGCGCATCCCCAACCCGCAGCGCATCCCCAACCCAAGGAGCATCCCCAACCCGCAGCGCATCCCCAACCCAAGGAGCATCCTCAACCCAAGGAGCATCCCCAACCCGCAGCGCATCCCCAACCCACAGCGCATCCCCCACCCGCAGCGCATCCCCCACCCGCAGTGCATCCCCAACCCGCAGCGCATCCCCAACCCGCAGCGCATCCCCCACCCGCAGCGCATCCCCCACCCGCAGTGCATCCCCAACCCGCAGCGCATCCCCAACCCGCAGCGCATCCCCAACCCAAGGAGCATCCCCAACCCGCAGCGCATCCCCAACCCGCAGCGCATCCCCAACCCAAGGAGCATCCCCAACCCAAGGAGCATCCCCAACCCGCAGCGCATCCCCAACCCGCAGCGCATCCCCAACCCAAGGAGCATCCCCAACCCGCAGCGCATCCCCAACCCAAGGAGCATCCCCAACCCGCAGCGCATCCCAAACCCGCAGCGCATCCCCAACCCACAGTGCATCCCCAACCCAAGGAGCATCCCCAACCTGCAACGTATCCCCAACCCACAGCACATCCTCAACCCCAGGAGCATCCCCAACCCAAGGAGCATCCCCAACCTGCAACGCATCCCCAACCCGCAGCGCATCCCCAACCCGCAGAGCATCCCCAACCTGCAGCGCATCCCCTCCGCCCCTGTGGCTTTTGAAGCCCAGAGTGCACAGTGGGGGCAAGAGCTGGAGGTTTGGACTGCATCATCCTGCAGCTTTTCACCCAAAGCCAACAGTTCGGCAGCACCCTCCCAAAATCCCTGCCGAGGTCCCACATTCCTTCTCTAAAAAGCCAGGGATCTGGTTACACTCGGCGGTTCAGGCTGGATTTTTTCATCCCCCCTTCCCATAAAAGAGTCTCCCTTGCAGGAACCAGCTCCCCTCATGTTCCTGGTTGCTGCTTGCCCCTGTGCAAGCAAACCCCAAAACAAGAGATGTGTTATTCCCCACAGGGATAAACCCCAATGCCACACAGCCCCACACAGAAACCCAGGGAGGAGAAGGCACAACCACCTCCCACAGAGCCAGCACTACAGGCTGGGGCTGGCTGCCCCCCGTGGCAGGGGGTCTGTGGGGTGCTCAGTGTGATGCTAAGTTCCCCTACCCACCACAAGCCCCCTCCTCGCTGCCCCATCCCTCTCCCCAGCACCCAGAATAGCAACTGCTTGCACAACAGGGGCTGGACCACACTTTATATAAAGCTAAATTATAGCTTGGGCAAAAGGAGGGAGCCCAAAGACCCGTAATTTCCCTGTCTATAACAAGAGGTTCTACACACAGACAGGCAAGGGCGGGTGGGGGGAAGAGAGACCTCGGACACTTCATTATACTCAATATAACAAGAGCTCCTACAAGCAGGAGCCGGGGGGGAAGGCAGGCAGACCTCACACCTATAATTACAGGGGCTATAACAAGAGGCCCTACAAGGGAGGTGGAGGGCTCCATCCCCACAGCAGGGTCAGCAGGAGCCTGGACATGCTGCAGAAGGGCTGTAACCGGCCTGGAATGATGCTTGCTCTGCTACACCCCATACGCTCATCCGGCTGCCTCAGTCTCCCCATAGCACCATCCCTTCTGTGCACCCTGTGATGCTGATCCAGCTCCAGGTCAGAGCTGGGATTGAAAGCTCATCAGGCGAGGGGGTTTTGGGGCTCAATGAAGGGAGATGCAGCAGCTCCAGCTGGATTCTGCACAGCCACTCCAAACCCCAAGCAGAAGGGGAGCACCCAACCCCAGCAAGGTGAAAACTCATTCCCATGGCCCTGGAAAGCCCAGGGCAAAACAGGGAGAGGAAAGCAGGCTGTCCTCCACCTCTAGGTGTTTGCACACAGGCGTGGTGTACAGGTGAATAATAACCACATGCTTTGCATCCACGTCCTCGGTCATGTCCCAACCTGGACCGGCCTGAGTCAGACCTGTGGCATTTGGTGCCTGTTAGAATAGAATGCAAACCTGGGGAGCTCTGGATGAGACCTTGGGGCAGGGGTACCCAGTGCAGGGCAGGGATCTGAGCCGATGGGCACTGGTGCAGCTGGGAGTTGCTCCGGTTTAAGCTGTGGGATGCCCGGAGCGTTGCTCAGGGCTTGCACATCAACAGCCAAGACCGCATCCCTTGCCCACTCCATGCCCATTCCCGAGGGGCAGAGGACAAGGAGGGTCTGTTCAGACCCTGAGCTCCGTGTGGAAGCACGGATAGCATGGATGTCGAGCTGACTGCTAAGACAAGGCTCCGGTTTTGCCATGTCCACTTCACACATACAATTACCCTGCACAAGAGGTCTCACACACAACCGCAGCGATGCGGGGAGGAAGATGGCAATTAAATTAACTCCCACTGGAACAAGCTGGCCACAAGAGAGACCAGAATAGACAGGAAAGAAATGTGGGGAAGTTGGTCCTTGCTTCCCTGCTGCTGCCTGGCCGTGGGGAGCAGACGGATGGCTCTGACCCCCAAGTGCACAACATCCCGTGGGAGCGAGCTGGAGAAAGGCTGTGTCTGCCCTCATGGTCACATCCTGAGCTGGGGCAGGGCTGGGGGGCAGCGGGACACACATGGGCTCAGCACCACCCCTGCAGGGTCCAGGCACTTTCCAGCCCACAGGGAAAAGCACATGGAAACGCTCAGGCATCAATCCTGATGGCACCAGGAGAGACAGACAGAGGGGCACCCCATGCAGACCAGGACGGACACATGATGTGCAGCTCCACAAGGGTCCTGTGCAAATACCTCTGTCCCCTCGGCTGCGTGCCCTCATCACCCCTCTGAACACTTGCTTTGGGGCACAAAGCCCCCCAGTGAGGGTTTTCTGCTCCAAACCACATAGAGCTGAGCACAGCTCTGTCCCCCACACCACTGGGATCTGGCGGGGGGGGGGTCCCCTTTTCCTTCTGCTTCCAGGGCAGGGAATGGCTTCTCCCCTCCCCTGCTGCCACCAGAACAAGACCAGGCTTGACCTAAATCTGATGGGTTTAAAACCAGCCACAAGCCCAGGCAAAACACAGACAAATCCCTAAGAAGAGCTGGCCCCTGAGGTGCGACATCCATCCCCTTTCCCACCTGCACCCCCAGCCCCTTCCCAGCCAGGCAAAAGCTCATCTTGTGATGGAGAAACAGCCTGGGATGAGGGTCCAGGTCTCTGCTCCCCCGTTCTGCACCACCTCTTGTGCAACACAGGGAGAAAGGAAGGCAACCCGGTGCAGGGAGAGGACTCACGTGCTCATGAGAACAGAGGTAGTAATAAGGCCTTTAAACACAGCAAGCCAGGTAAATGACAGGGCTGCTGTGAGGTACAAGGATTAGGCAATGGGATAGACGATGTGGAGCTCCTTTCTTTGCCTCCTGGTTGCCAGGCCCAGGAGATGCACACGGGGCAGGTTTGCTGACTCTTCTCCCCATTTACAAAGTCCAAATCCCGCCGTCATAACCGCCCCAAGACATCCAAACCTAACACCACGGGTCCCAAGTCCTGATGACTTGGAGAAGCTCACGACGCTCTCCTGTCCCCCCTTCCCTTTCCCCTTAATCCCTGAGGAATGGCTGGTCAGGGAGGAGATAACGTCGGATGGAGACGGCAACAGAGACAGTCTAGAGAGGGGTTTGCCATTACCAACATGCTACCTTGCAGCAATATTTCGTTTGGGAGCTTTCTAATCTGCTTTATGCAGATAAAACAAGTGTGTGATCGCCCCTGCCTTTCCTGTACGCGCTGCCTGGCCCAGCCAGGTGCCTGCCTGACCTATTCCAGGGTTATTTTAGAGCTTGATGAAGTGGTTTCAAGTGCAGAAGAGACAGCACTGAGGCAAATCCTTCCAATCCCGCGAGCCAGGCCGGAGGAGAGGAAAGCAAAGCTCTGGTTTGGAGGTTTGCTCAACTGGGAAAGATCCAAATGGCTTATTTACCTTCAGTCTGAAATTAATGCACCGAAGCCTTTTCAGGTCCTAGGATACACAGGGAAAGGAAAAGGAGGGCGGGAGGAGAAGGAGAAGCACCCAGGGATGGATCCCACCCAGCGCGTTTGCCCCCGTGTCCCTCTGCTCACCTGGGCAAAGCTCTGGATAAACAGCTCAGCCCTGGGACAAGGAGGAATCCGGTCCAAAAAGTAATGGGTTTCTATGAAAAGTCACTTCCTAAATGCAACAAAGCAAAACAAAGCCAAAAACCCCACAAAACCCCAAATAGCTGCAGCCTGGGAGTTGTTGGGTTTTGTTATTTATAGCCCTTGGGTGGGTAGGAAGAGAGGAATTTTGGGCCGGGCACACAGGCCAGGATCAGCATCTATCCCAACCATCTGCATCTGACCTCAGCTGAAAGCTCCTCCAGCAACAAACCCCCAACTCCAGGTTCAGAGCACAGACCCCAGCCCAAGGTGTCCCCACAGACCCCATCACCCAAAGGTCCTCATTGACCCATTGGCTCCTGATTGGAGGCACAGCCTTAAGAAGGAACTGCTCCTACCTGAGAGCAAGGACGCCGGGATGGTGGGATAACCCTTGAGAAAGGGTTGAGGGACCAGGTTTGTTCCTCCAGCTGCCAGGCCAGCCCATCTCCCAGCATCAGGCCTGGGCTCTGCCTAACCCAAAGAGCAACGTCAAACATCCCAAATGCACCGCGCAGCCAAGGAATGGAGAAAAATGGTGGAGAAACACAAAGGGTCAAGGAGCCAGACTGAGGTCAAACCAACTTCCATGGGCTTTTTTGAGGAGCACTGTGCTAGCTCAGTGCTCCCCAGTGCCACAGGATGCTGGCATGGATGAAGGATGCCACCGGAGGTGCTACAGCATCCCAAGTGTCCTTAAGGACAAGCAATTACCCTTGAAGCCTAGAAAGCA